TCGGAGGTAACATCCCTTTTTTCCGCGTGCAGGCGTCGATACTTGATTTCATTTACGGAAGGCGTAACGATATAACTATTCGACTATGGGTGTAGGCGTATTGCCTACTCATCTCGTCCAAGATTATGAACTCCATGCTCATCACTGAACTTTTCACTTCTTTGCTTGAGCATGGAGTCCAATAGCAAGAAGACCCCCTTAATTTTAATGTCCATTCGTTCGTCATCAAAAAGGAAATAGCATACCTCTCTCATCTAATCTAACTTGAGCTAGTGTAACCTAATCTTAGCTAACGTAACCTAACGCAACCACCGCACACTTTTCTACTAGAGCACACTGTTTTCGTCTATACTTTACTAAGGTCGTCTTGATAAATTTTTGGACTCCATGCTTATTTAATATTAGGGAATATCTGCACCCCACGATTTTGGACGCTTTGATTTTTCAAAAAACTATTCCTCATTCAGGTGAGCATGGAGTCCAGTACCATGGACGCAAGTTACATTATACCTCTACCAGGTATCGTATTTTTATTCAATTCAATCGGCAACAATGACCACTGTTGCTCTTGATCCTGACCGAACGGCGCGCGGCACTGCAATGGATGGACAAGAGCTGGTCAAGAATGACTGAAGAGTGACTGACCAATGGTCGGGAGCCGGGGGAAGGAGGAGGAGAAAGACAGAAAGAAAGAAAGAAAACGCGGATGGACCGAGAGAGATGTGTCTGATACAGTTATCAAATTCTCCAGCTTCGCGGCTGGCGCGGTCCGCTGGGAACCGATCCTGATCAGTACGGTCCAGTCCGCAGTCCGTAGTCCGCGGTCCGTATCTAGTCCGTAAGCGCCGTTCGCTCGCTACGTTAACCAGCGCTACGCGACCCCCCCTCCCCCCCACACCGTGTGCTATGTTTTTCGCGTTCGAGATGTTTTCGGTGTAGGGTGGGCTCTGAGTGGAATTGTTTTTCTTTTTTTCGGAAGTGCTACGAAGGTGGAGTGTTGAAGATAGGTTGTTTTGTTTGACTTTTATCTTGTGCGCAAAGTTCGGGAGGGTTTTGTGTCCGCACGCTGGCTCATCCTCGAAACTAATTTTCGAGGTAGTGCACTGAGGATTTTTTTTCGGAGTCCTGTTGTATCCCGATTGGATTTTTACAAGGCTTGCGGAGGTAAGTCGCTTTGCTTCGCGATTTACTATGATTATTTTTCTTTTAATATAACTCTTTCGAAAGTCTTTGTTTATATTCGCGAACTATCTTGCGCAAGTACCATTGAGAAGGATGGTTTGAGCCCCGGTGATGTGAGTATCTATGGCAATCACCAACGGACTCTATGGTAGCAAAGACCGTAACTCTAATCGCATGGCACCAAAAGTATGGTAAGTGTTCTCAGTTGTCTGGTTATCTTCACTCTTCAGTATTACTGAGTCAAATCGAGTAGACTAATGAAAGCATTTACCATACTTCTGTCAATTTGGTAAAATTTGCCGCGCTGATTGAGCTACTTAAGACGAAAGTTCCTTTTCTCGCAAAATCTTACGTATTAAATAATAAAAATAAAAGGGGGAAAAACAAAAACAAAACCACACGCGCTTGCACATCGCACCCCTGGGATAACGATGGTTAAAGAACAGTACCACCCGACTGAAAATTTTGGCAAAAATGGGTTGGCAATTTTTCCGTATTCTAAAGTCTAAAACCAGGAAAGCTGACTGCCTATTTTAGTTTTTGCCAATTTCGCATGAGAACACTGTAATGACGCTGTAATGTGTGAAAAAATGCTAATCTAATCTCAAAATTACGAAAATGGCGAAGTTTTTTTTTCGTCCAGAAAAATCGCCATTTTACAGATAGACGGTATTGTATTGTTCTTTAGCCGTCGATAAAAAAAAACCACTCATTTTACCTTAACACAGCTAGGCAGAAAAGTGAGCGGCTGCAGAANAACAGTACCACCCGACTGAAAATTTTGGCAAAAATGGGTTGGCGATTTTTCCGCATTCTAAAGTCTAAAACCAGGAAAGCTGACTGCCTATTTTAGTCTTTGCCAATTTCGCATGGAAGCACTGTAATGACGCTGTAATGTGTGAAAAAATGCTAATCTAATCTCAAAATTACGAAAATGGCGAAGTTTTTTTTTCGTCCAGAAAAATCGCCATTTTACAGATAGACGGTATTGTATTGTTCTTTAGCCGTCTATAAAAAAAACCACTCATTTTACCTTAACACAGCTAGGCAGAAAAGTGAGCGA